ATGTCTGCCCATAGATGGCTCTGTTAGCGCCGATTTGAAATGGCGGGAAAAATCGTATTTTTCACTAGTGCCATGAATATCGATGGTGTTATTTTTATCATAAACATTATAATTTTTATAATGTTTTTTAACATTAGTAACAGCAAAATAAGATAACGTAAAATATTTTGTAAATCAAAGAAAAGGGTGAACGGGCGAGACGTGCAGTACTTGTAACTGGCTCACTGGGGAGTTAGTACAAGTGTTGCCATCTATGTGTAAAAACAATCTAACAAGTATTCTCACAGTGGCCATGGCATGGCATGCCCGGCGGGAATGGGTTAACCTATTCTAAATAATGTGACCAACACAGCACTCACAACATATAAATGATGCTATAGTAAGCAGCGGCGTATAGCTGCAGCCAGGGAGACAGCATCCGGCGAGCAGAAGCGGCCAGCAGGCACGGCGGCGTATCTCTGCGTCCCAATTTGTTCCCTGCGTACAATCTCATTAGAAACTGGCTTTATACTGTCTCTTCACATCACCTTGCTGCACTGCACTGAAACAGATATATATACATATATATATACATATATATATGTATATATATATGTATATATGTATATGTATATATATATGTATATATATGTATATATATATATAATGTATATATACATACACACGCGCACAAACACACCACACACAAATGTATATATATATATATACATATAAATGTGTTTGTGTGTCTATGTCTATATATGTATATGTATATATGTGTATATATATATACATAATATATATATGTACACAAATATATGTACAATATATATATGTATATATTTGTGTGTGTGTATTCATATATAAAAATACATACATACATGCATATTTATACATAAATATTTATGCATACACGCAGACACATCATCATTTGGGAGCTAACGCCGGCAGGGGCGCATAGCCGCGTCCACCCTTCGCTTCCACCTGCGAGGGTCTCTCATGGCGAGCCGCCAGGTAGGGTCCCGGCCCATCTCTATTTCCTCACGACAGGTTTGATCGATCTGCCCAAGCCACGGCCTTCTCGGTCGTCCCACAGGCCTCCTCCACCCAGGGTTGTCACAGACAGAGACAACCTGATGGGCAGGATCATCCTGCGGGAATCGAGCCAAGTGGCCGTATAGCATGAGTTGGCGATCACGGATTGTGCAAGTAACAGGTCCTGTACCGGTCTCACGGTGTAGCCGTTGGTTGGACACATGGTCCCGCCAACTGTACCCCATGATCCGGCGCAAGGATCTGTTACAAAAGGCATCGAGACGAGATTCCAAGGCACAAGATAGCGTCCAAGTTTCACTACCATATAGTAAAACTGGCAGTATCAGGGCCTTGAAAACTCGTAGCCTGGTCCTTCTGCACAGGTACCGGCATCTCCAAATACTCTTGTTGAGAGATTTCATGACCCTTGCTGCCAGGCCAATCCGTCTACTGACTTCCTGGTCTGACAGCCCAGCGTCATGAACTGCACTACCCAGGTATATAAAGCTCCTTGTGACTTCGATGTTTTCACCGCAAGCATCTATCGACTGCACAGGGTCTCCTAGTAGGCCTCCAAAGTCCTGGATCTTGGTCTTGATCCAGGAGACCTCTAGCCCCAGGGGCTTCGCTTCATTGCTAAATGCATCAAGAGCCGTCACTAGGGTTTCCAGAGATTCAGAAAGAATGGCAACATCATCAGCAATATCAAGGTCTGTAACCTTGATATTGCCCAGAGTTGCTCCACAGTGACTTTGGACAGTAGCTCTACCCAGTATCCAATCCATGCAAGTGTTGAAAAGTGTTGGTGCAAGAACACAGCCTTGCCTCACGCCTGAACTAACAGGAAAGAAGCTTGACAAACCCGCATCACACTTTACAAGCCTGTATACAGGCTTGCTATTAGTCCAAGAATCCTTGTTGGAATTCCTCTCAGTCTCAGGATCTCCCAGAGTGATTCGCGATGCACCGTATCAAACACCATCTTGAGGTCGATGTAGGCTGCGAGCAGCCCACATCCGAACTCATGATGGCGCTCTACAATGACTTGAAGTGCCAGGATGCGGTCTATTGTGGATTTACCAGGAGTGAATCCAGATTGCTCCAGTCTTTGGTGCCTCAGCAGGTGGTCTCTGATACGTCTTAGTAAGATGTGCGCGAGTACCTTGCCTGGTACACTGAGCAGTGTAATGCCTCGGTGATTGCTGCAATCCCACCGATCCCCTTTCCCCTTCCAGAGAGGGATGACCACACCTCTCAGCAGGTCAGGGGGAATGGTACCGGTCTGCCAGATGGCAGACAGGACTGCATGCAATCCCCTTGCCATAGGTTCTCCACCAGCCTTTAACAATTCAGCTGGGATGCCACAAACACCTGCTGCTTTACCACTCTTCAGTTTGGAGATCGCCCTCCTGACTTCAGTCAGGGAGGGTGGATCCTCGCTGATGGGTGGGTCTGGCAGAGGAGTCTCAACATTACCAGCATCCAAGTTAACTGTTGGTGGATCAACCTGATACAACTGCTCAAAATACTCAGCCCAATGCACACGCACCCCATCAGGATCTGAGATTACCTGGCCACTTGCTGAGCGGACTGCTGTCGTCTGTGAGGAGGGCTTAGAGTTCAGCTTTCTCAGGGCTTGGTAGGCAGGACGAAGGTTATTTACTAGGAAATGGCTTTCGACCTCCTCTGCACGAGCCGCACGACAAGCTTCTGTGGCTTCCAGTGTCTCCTGCGAGATGGAATTCTGTCTTGCTCTTGGGCGTTCACCAATGGATTCCTGCGCTGCATCAAGTGTTTCACGCTTGAAGGAATCCCACATAACTACAGGGTCTGTCAGGTCCTCGAGTGCTGTGAGACGACCAGAGATAGCCTCAGCAAACCCCCGGGCACACTCGTCCTCCCTCAGTCTGTCCAGATGAAACACCCTGGGGTGTTCCTTTGGTCGACGGGGGGTTCTAAAGTGGACCCGGAGAGTAGCCACAACTAATCTATGATCAGTTCCACAGAACTCGGCGCTTCGATACACCCTGCAGTTCTGGAGGATCCTCCACCGAGTGCTGAATGGATGTGGTCTATCGATGCGGGTCAGAACGCTGATACCAGGAGCCAGAGATCCTCAATTTCTGGGACCTAGCAAAGTCACGGAAAAGGAGGCTATTCTCGCTGCCAGCATCAGCTCCTGAGCCATGGAGACCGACAGACATCTCGTAGCCAGCTCGATCACAGCCGGTTACCGCACTGAAGTCGCCCAGAACAATACTAATATCTCGCCGAGGACAACTGTCTGCCACAGATGCAATCTCAAGTTTAAATACATCCGTAGGAGCGTACACAACAATAAGAGACATGAAGCCAAATGAAAGCTTCAGTCTCAATACCATTATACGTTCATCGACTGGAATGACATCTACTACCTCTGTGTGTGTGTGTGTGTTCGTGAGCGTATATATATGTACAGATAGTCCCCTACTAAAGAACATTCTACTTACGCACATTCCGTACATATGAACAAATTTTTAAAAATACTTAAGTCCAAAAAATTGTTTGAAAGATGCTAGCAAACTTCACATTTCCCAGGCGCGAATACAGTTCACGAGTCTGCCACGCCGCGACGCCGCCGCGCTCACTCAGCTGTGTGCATCACTCGCCTGCCCTCCCACCATAAACACGAAAGCCTCTCTTCACTGAGTCCTTGTGTACCGACAATTTTGGTGCCATAATTCGCTTTACCTGTGCATCAATCCATCAAAAATGTCGGGTGCGAAGAGAAAGATAAACGGTGAAGCCAGTGGAATTGCCAAGAAACGTCAGGCTATAACTTTATGGATCTTATCAATCGGTTTGTCAGCCAGTCACAACTATATATTTTCTTTTTGAATAAATTATGTTTCTACATTTAAAGTTGTATAAATCACCATCAAATAATATGAACCCTTTCACGACGAGTGACGCCACTAGGCGTGAAAAGAAACCGCACGAAAAGTGCCGTGCGGCTGTACGCCGCGGCGGCGCCAAGCGCGGCGAGCCAGTGATTCGGCCTGATGTACGGAACTCACGCCCTCAAAGTCGGCGCACTGCCATTGTTTGCCAGAGCATAGAGTTTTGTAGAGTTTTTTATTTGCTAGTCACCACTACAATATACTTTCTTTTTGAATAAATTATGTTTCTACATTAAAGTTGTATGAATCACCATCAAATAATATTAAAAGCATTATATATTACAGGTACTGTATAAGGTACGTCGTACTTATTGGGATTTATGTACAGGCATTCTTAATGTAAACAAAATTTTAAAACAATGGGGAAAAAAGGGAATAGAGACCCGACTTTCGACATACGGTCAAATCGACTTCCGAACAGCCTCTCGGTCCCCATTATATCCATAAGTTGGGGACTTACTGTATATATGTGTTTGTGTGTGTTTGCGCGTGTATATATGTGTGTGTGTGTGTGGCTATTTAGTTATATATATGTATATATACTTATATATATATACTTGGGCTTTTTTTGTTATTAAGCCGACCGGGTCTCGCTTCTACCATCCTGAGACTCTGCTCCCTTATGCCGGCCACACTTGGCCTGACCGCCTGACCCCTTGACCTGTCCTGACCTGCCCTTCGATTGCCCAGTTCGCTCTTTCTCTTACTTCTTCCTCTCTCATTCCTCTTCAGATTTGAATTATCATCAACTTTGTTGGTTTTATAAACGTTATAATTTTCAATAAAATAAATGTCATAATAATGTCATTATCATCATGAATATCATTGTATCAGATTCATGAAACTTATTTTCTTCGTCATCATCATTTCCATTATCATTAATGTAATAATTTTAATAATTACTATCAGTATCATGATTATCATTACTTCTATAATTATTGTTTTTTTTATTTTTGTAGTCACCATCAATAGTATAAACACGTGGTAAATGGAGAGAAAAAGATATATACCCTACATAGTTATTAGCTATTTTACACACGATCTTTACGAAGCTGGATGAAATCACTCTGACTCTTCGCTGTCGTCTTCTTGTGGCGACTCGTCCCTCTCGTCTTGTGGCGACTCGTCCCTCTCGTCTTGTGGCGACTCGTCCCTCTCGTCTTGTGGCGACTCGTCCCTCTCGTCTTGTGGCGACTCGTCCCTCTCGTCTTGTGGCGACTCGTCCCTCTCGTCTTGTGGCGACTCGTCCCTGTCAGCTGCCCCCTTAGACTTGGCCTTTCGCCCTGCCCCTTCCCTCCTGCCTGCTGCTTCCGGACGCTCAGCCCTGCCTGCGGCTTGCACAGGCTCGTCGCTCTCTGGTGCTCTCCTAGCCTTGCCTCGGCTGCCAGCTGCTTGCCGAGGCTTGTCTCTCCCGCCTGCCGCTCCCCTTATCCTGTCCGTGGCAGCTGCTGGCGGAGTCTCGTCGCTGCCAGCAGCTTCCCGGGGCCTCCTCCTCCTGCCTGAGGCCGAGGGCTGGCAGGTGGCCGTCGGCTCAGGCTCACGTGGCGGCTGCAGGTCCGGCAGGAGAAGAAGCGCGTTAGTAACACCTTGGGAGGATTTCCCACACTCTATCGTGGACGAATTTCTCTTCATTCGAGTGTTTACAATTACAAATACACAAATGCGCGTGCGCACACACACATACTTGCACATGTGTATATACATGTATGCATATACACATGCACATGTGTGTATATATATACATACAACCATACATACACACATTCATATGTATAAGTGTTCATATATACACACATATACATATATATACACATATGTATACGTATATATGTATAGAATATATATGTATATATATATTATATGTATGTATATGTATATGTACATATATATACATACAAATACGTCCATTTATATATATACACACAGACATATATAAATATTTGTGTATATATATCTATATATACATATATATGCACACACAAACATACACACACACACACACATATATATATGTACATATATATATATATATATATATATATATATATATATATATTAGATATATGTATATATATATTTAATTAAATATATGTATATATACATATGTATTTATACATGTATATGTATGTATATATACATATTTCTACATATATATCTACCTACCTATATAATATATTCATATGTATACATATATACATGCACACACACATATAAGTGTGTATGTGTGTGTGAGTGTGGATGGATAGATAGATATAGATATATAAACTTATAATTACAGAAACAACTTGCCTCCATTCCTCTCAAATGAAGGTCTTCCACCGCAGAAAGAACGTATTTCATTTTCTGTTCTTGCTCTCTTAACTGCCTCTGAAATTAAGAAACGACATTATTTTCTTCTCTTACGTTTCATCACCGTTTGGTAAGATCTGATCCCTTGCCTCCCTTTCTCTCCTCTTTCTTAAGCGAAGCTTTCAGCTCTGAAGCCTTTAGTTGCTTGCAAATGAGCTTTCATTTCACCCGACGGAGAGGGATGCGTCTGGACGCGAGACACACTTACCTTCATTCGCTTTAGCTCGCTGTCTTCCTCTTCGGGTTGCGAGTCCATTTCTTTTCCCTCTTCTTGATCTCTGAGCTTTTTCTGGAAACATCAATTCTTAGGTTATTTTCCCTGTCATTTTTGGCATTAACATTAGTCTCTATTTGGTTGCTACCACCATCAACACCATCAACGCGTGTGTGCGAAGACCAGCTCGCCCCTACCTTGAGGGCCTTGATCCTTTTGTCTCGTCTCCTGAGCTCGCTCTCAAGCTCGTCTCTCTCTTCGTCTGCCTCTTCCTCTTTCCTCTTCTCCCCTCTTTGGAGACTTTTCAACCTCTCATTGTGCTCTGCCTGGAAACGAACGCCTTTATGAGAACTGCGTCATAAAACAGGTATTTGTTGATGGTATGCATTCTCTCTTCATATCATCATGCGTGCGCCCACTTCAATGGTTCCTCGGTTTCCAAAGGGAGAACTTACCTCGGCTCGTGTGAGCTCGCTCTCCTTCTCTCTGATCTGCCTCGTCAGCTCTCGATTCTTGCTCCATTCTTCTTCCAGACGAGACTGCGGGGGAAGGCAAGGATAACTTATTTTCTCCTCTGTTCCCCTCTTCATCCTCTCCCTCTATCTATCTGTTCATCTATTTATTTATCTGCCTCTGAGTGTCTATCCATCAACCCCTGCTGTCTGGTTTTCTCCCCCTACATATCTTGTCTACCCCCCCTCTGTGTCTATCTCTTTCTATTTATCTCTGTATATACACATCATCTTCTATCTGTGGTGTGACAATTTGCCGGATATGCTTGTAGGTTCAAAAGAAACCAGGGATCACTTATCAAGGCTATATTCAAGTACACAGAGGAGCACTGCGGTGTGCGACCGGACAGTCAGCTCACGGGCGACGCTCTGCCTGGGGCGTGTTGTTACTGGAACATGCCACTGGCAAACAAGTTGTTACATGAATGGAGGTAGATAGTTGCATGGTTAATATGATACAGAGGGTGACAATGGTGTACGTGTTATGCTATGCTATATACACAGACACTAATATATCACATATCTACACTATCTATCTCTTCCTCTCACTTTTTTCTAGCTCTCGCTCGCCCTCCCCCCCCCCCCTCTCTCTCTCTCTTTCTATCTATCACCTCTTTGTATCTTTCTCTTCCTTCCTCACTCACTCATGCTATCCCTTTCTGTCTGTCTCCGTCTTTCTCTTGAGTGTATCCCCCTGTTTATTTACTTCGACTCGTCTGTCCATTTACATACACTCGCCCAGCATCTATACATAGAGATAAGGACAGCTAGGTATACACATACCGGTGGATGCGCTACATGTCTATACAGTGCCAGCTTAAGAATATACACACATGCATCTCTTAATATATTGACGAGCATGCAACGAAGTATAACTGCAAGTCTGTATTTGATCACACAGCCGACAACTTACCTGTAAACTTGCACTGCGTTCCTGAAGCTCTGCAATTTGCTGGTTGAGACCTTCCTTCTCGGCCTCATGCTCCCTCGCCTCAGTCTCACACCTTTGCTGATGCAATTGCGCTTGCTTCACCTGCTCCTGAAAAGGTCTACCTTGGTTAGGTTGTTGCAAACAGAATCGAGCACTTGATTTGCATCTGCTTGTGCCATTCTCTTCTTTCCCTCTCTGTGTCTCTTGCACGTACCTGCATTAATTTGATTTCCTTTTCCTTCTCCTGAAGCTCCTTCTTCAACTCTCCATTTTCCTTCTGCAGGGTGGCTGCCTCCGCCACCTTCGAGTCGTACCTCTTCTTCATCTCCTTCCTCTGCTTCTCGGGATCGTCCTGCAAGAGAAAAGTCTCAGGAATGCGTCGAGGACACTGCTTTGGCGCCGCAGCCAAAGCGGAACCTGATGACAGCAACTGGGGCGCAAAGCACGGCCTTACCCTGTACGCCAGCAGGACTTGCTTCGCAGCCGGATGACGCGCTGCTAAGTCCATGGGAGTTTTGCCTGGGGGAGGAAGAAGCTTGTATTAAGCTCGTGTTCATGGGTGACGGAAAGGAGGCTGGGAATGGAGGAAAAGTGGGGATGGAAATGGGGATGGGAATTAGGGTAATGAGGAAGCAGAGAAGAGGAGAGAACGAGGAAGGAAGAAGAGGAAAAGAAACGAAGGGATAAAGAGAATAGCAGCGAGAGGGAGCAAAAGGAGACAGGAAAGAGTGATGGGAGGAAGATAGGTAGAATAAAGGCAGAGAAAAGAAGAAAAAAGAGCAGAGAAATGGAAAATGAGGAATAGGGAGGAAAACTGAATAGAAGAAGAGCAGAGAGAAGAAGAGAAAAGATAGGTGGGAGAAAACAGGAGAAAGAAAGAGAGAGGAAGGGAAAAGACAGAAGGGAGGTAGAGAAAAGAGAGGATAAAAAAGGAGAAGAGGTATGGAGAAGAGGACAGAGAGATGTAAAGAAGGAAAATGAGAGTGGGGATTGGAGGAAGAGAATAGAAAGAAAAGAAGAGAAAAAGAAATATGAAATGAAATAAGAGGCAGAATTGAGATACAGAGCAGGAGGAAGAGGAGAAGGAGACAGAGACAGAGGAACAGGAGAAAAAGTGGAAAATGAGAAAAAAATAGAGGAAAACGCAAAATAGTGTAAGAGGAGAGGAAGGTGAACAAGAGATAGTGGACAGGGAGGAGAAACCGGGAAAAGGAAGAAAGGTAGTGGAGATAGAGAAGGGAGGAAGAAGTGAATTAGAGGAAAGAAATAAGGGAGGAAGAGAAGAGAGATAGAGGGAAGGAAGGAAAACGAGAGAGTAGAATAGAGGAAGGGGGGCTGGGAAAGAGGAGAAGGAAGAGGGAAAGGGAGGGATAGAAAGGAGAAAGGAGAGAGTAGAAAAAAACGAGAGACAGGGAAGAGGAAGAGGCAGAATAAAGTGAGGAAGCGAAGAAGAGGTAAAGGAGAGAGAAAGGGAGGGGAGAGAAGGAAGAGGAGAAACAAATGAAGAGAGAGAGAAGAGAAAAAGGAGGGAGAGGAAGAAGCACACAGAGAAAGGAAGAGTAGAGAGAAGGGAAGGACAAAGAGAATGGAGAAAATAAAAGTCATGATAACAAGATATAGTGAAAATGAAAATGAATGTAACAGTAATAACAATACATACGAATGTATAGCGAAAAGGCAATAACACGAAAATAGGTAAAATAGCATAAACTGCAGTAAGAATAAAACAATATAATTATGGAGATATATGATGGCTGTAACAATTACTCAACTGACATTAATATCATGAGAAACTTTGATGATAATGATAATAGTAATATTATTTACAAAAATAATGTTAATAGCAATAACAATTATAGTGAAAAATGAATAATAAAAGTCAATGTAATAGCAATAAAAAAGCATACGAATAAATTAGGGAGATTTAGTACAACGAAATTAAGTGCAATGAAAATGAATAAAATAAAGATCCGAAAATATATGATAACTGGAACAATTACTCTATTAATATCAATATTAACATGATTATAATAATGACATTAATACCCTGACATGATGATAATCATATGATAATAAAAAACACATGAATAATAGTAAGAATTAAGTAAGAACAAGAACAAGGTAAAGAACAAGTCAATAAAAACTGGACTGTTTGCAAGAAATGGCAGATCTGAATGCTTCTTGGAAATGAGCGAGTGAAATGGTGAAAATCGTCATTGCATGGACTACTTTAAC